TGGGGCTAGCCCTTATGAGCACATGCTGATAGACTGCGATTAGTCATGCCTGAAAGGGGAATCTAAGGTGCTCAATTATAATGTCTGGAGCAAATGTAAATAAGGTTAACATTCACAAAGAAGCAGCCAGGTGGGATCTCACTTTGCTTGGGTGCTGGGCACAATTCATGTCTTTTCTGGCAGTTTGCAGGATGCAATCTTGGTACCAATAAACTCCATTTGAATAGCACATGCATATACACATTGAATATGCATGGGTGGTGACCACAACTTGGCTTCTGTCTAAATTTTCTGATTCTCCATTGCTGATCCTAAACCAAACCTGAGAAATAAACTCCCTTGACTTGGCCAACTTATTCATCAAAATTTAATTATCCCTGGAATTCTGATCCTCTGGAGCTTGACTGCTGCCATTATCCTACTGGAAGCTGGTAGTGCTTTTGCTGTTGTTCCCCAACCAGCCTCAGTTTGGGATTTTCTTGTAGTTTAATCTGGACCTGCAGACATGGTGAGCTTTATTTTGCTGATGCCCAAGATAAATAATGATGGGCTGATATTTTCAATTTGCAACAGGTGGCACAATTTGTTGGTACCCAAGGGAACAGGGAATTTCTGCTAATGCCAATGGGTGTAGGAAATGGTGAAGGGGCTCCACAAGTAGGTTATATTATGCTGCATATTTTTTTGATAATAATGCTCACGTGGCTAATTGATGTGTAGGCAAATGTGGCCCTTCAAGAAGCTGTTCAAGACCTTCCAGGTGGAAAGAGGGTAAGAATGAGTTGGATTTTTCATGTTTATTTTGGATGATCTGATTGTTCATTATTTGTTCAGAATATCTTGGATTGAGCTGACCAGAATGTTTTTATGTTTGATGTGTTTGATTGACTTGTCGCAGAAAAATGTTGTGGAGGAAGGGGCTTCAAAATCTCAAGCCAATGCAATGGTAAGTCTGTTTCTTCTCTGGCTGAATCATTGACCTGATCTGATTGTTGACATTTTCAATAGATTGGGGCCAGTAATTTTTCCCCAGAGGAAGTAATTCAGATTCTCGGGAGGCCAATCAAGGTGGAAAAAGGGGTTCCAGCTCCTAAAGTACGTCTGTCTACTATTTGGACTATGATGTTCACCACCAGAATGCTGACTTTGGAAATAGCAGTTAATTACTGGGGTCAAAGGTGGATCTGGTCAGGATTTTGTTACACCAAGATCCCCTGTGACAAGTGAAGAGTCTGATTGGGGGCCAATGGTAAGAACCCTTCCCCCAATTTTCATGGGGATTATTATTGATGTGCATGCCTTAGATTGATAACCTCTTGGGACAGAAAGTAAGTTTTCGTTTTACTAAATGCTCCTTTTTTTGCTGAATGGTAATCAAGATTTTGTTAATGTGTAGGCAGATGACGTGACTGAAGAAGAGTCGGTTGATGAGTGGTGGGATGCTGTTGAACAAGAATCACAAGTGTCTGTGGAATGTGGAATTTCAGCCTCCAAGAATAATTCTGATTTGGGGCCAATGGTATAATCAGATTTATTTAAGATCTTTGAGTTCAACAGAGAATGTTAATAAATATCCTTATTTCTTTTTAAAGACTGATGGCCCAATCACAGATTTTCAAGAGTGGATGTATAATTTACCAATTCCAGACGAGGAGGACTATGACCTGGACTCTTGGGCGATCTCGATTGAAACCCATCAATTATCAACTGTCCTGCACCCTATGGGTCTTGTCACTCTTGCACATCACGTCTTGGCATTACAGGACCATAAAGACTTTTCCGATTTTGTGTTTGTGGCGCAAGGTGCATGTACCATTCGAATGCCCCCCAACTTCAAGGAAAGGGTGCTTCAGAAATTATGGAACAATTTCCATATCATTGCGCATCCCTCTGCAAATCCTCGAATTCTCAACATGGGATCACCTTCTTGTACTGTCAGAATGCTCCAGGAGGTTTTTCATCAACTTCGTGTTCCAACCTTGCGTTTGGCGTCATATGGGATGAAGTGCCCCTTTCGTCTAGTCACTCATAACCTTGGGGAGGGTGTCCGTGACTTTATGACAATAAATCAAAGGAAAAATCACTTTGACATTGGCTTCACCTTTTTTCCTTACTACGGCACCGATCAATTCCGCCACCAGATCCTGCTGGCAAGACGCCCTCCTGGTACGAGACGATGTCGATCAGAATCTTATCCGACGCTACTAGAACTTGGCGAGGGCTTTGGAACTGTCAATCTCCAGACAGAGCATGAAGCCATCACCCGCCTCAAGTGCTACTCTTCACTCACCCATGCTCTCAAGGCGACCTCCCAAAAGGACATGAAGCATGCTCCCACAACCGCCATGACCTGGAATACTCGTTTGAAGACCTTTGAGAAGAAGCGTGACATCTTGGCCGCAAACGATCCCGCCCACCTCTGTGGACTCAGATTTGAAGCAACCGTTTATGCCTCCACAGTGGATGAAGCCCAGGAGATTGTGAGGAGATCTGGATATCTTCACCCCCGTGCTTACCGCCATGGACCCGAAAACCCAAACGAACAAATTGCACTGGACTTCAAGGCTGTCCCAGTTTCAGAATACTTTGCATATGTAGCTCTTATGCTCAAGAAGCTCAAAAGAATGCAAACTGGGGTCTCTCAAAAACATGAAACCCAACGAAAAATCACAGACATTCAAAAGCAGGCCATTGTGGATGTTGCCAATGCACTTGGATGGAATGGCGGGGCAGGACAGAGGCCAACCAGTGTAGATAGAGAGAAGGTGCCAGATCCCTGGTGGGATGAATGTGAGTTATTTGACTCTTCTTTTTATCTGATGAATTCATTTATTTAAATTAATGTGTTTCTCTCTCTCAGACGATGACAGTTGGGAGGAGCGCCGTTTGAAAGAAGGAGAAGTGACTTTGGGGAACTTGCTGAGGGTACCTGTGTTGGACCTCTGGCAATTGCGACCAAGACGAGTATTTCCTTGTAGCATTTGCCATGCTCTGGACAACCCATCACCCCCGAAACCAGACAAGTCCAAATTCTATCCGCCTGGTTCTTTCACCTCAGTTGGTGGCACAAAGCATTTCAAACTCAAATGCAATGGATGCGGAAAGACCACAACTAGCGCCCAGGAAGCTGTTAACATGTTAGCCACATGGATTGAAAAGTTGGGATTACCGCTTCTTGGGGAGCATAGAAGACGAACACTTGCTGGTGGCTATTGCTTGGACAACCCTGAAAAAAATCCATCCCTCAGTCCGCCACCCAAAACTGTTACAATAGAATCAACCGAGAAGTCTACTCCTGAGCCTGAAAAGAAGAAGGGTGAACGTATCCCAGTGGTAGTGATCCCCAAGCTTGGGCCAATTGTTGTGAAGGCAAAGAAACCCCAAACCGAGAATATTCCCGCTAAAGCAACAACAGCCAGTCTTTCCGATTTGGTCAATAAAGACATTGTTGAGCTTGCAAGCCAAGCCAATAACGTTGCAAAGTCAAAACTCGAGGTTGTTGTGGCACAGAAGACGACAGGAACACTACTTGGCTGGGTTGGATTTGCTGATTACTTGCTCAAGAACAATCTCTGGGAAGACTCTTCATCTGCCCTTCCTTCTACTCAAGCAATCCCTACTGTTTCATCAATGGACCAGTTGGATAACTGGAAGCTTTCTAACGGGTTTCATTGTGGGAGATGGAAACTGCCTTTTCAGGGCAGTGGCAATTTGGGTTCTGGGCGACCAAGAAAAACATGGGGAGATCAGGAAGACTTGCTGGAGAGAGCTTGTGGAAAATCAGGACGAATACGCACCATATGTCACTGAAGATGACCTCAGAAATCCAGGCAACCCTGTGCCGCAAGCCATTGTTGATGGGGCTAACATTTACGATGTCTTTCTGGAAAAAAGCTTAACCGACCGATTTTGGGGTGGCGATAAACACTTGTCTGCACTTGCACAAGCTCTTGGGATCCGAATTGTTGTGCTAACCCAACAACGGGGAACTTTTGGATATCAACCTAGAACCAGACAGCCGGAGAAAACCATCTATGTGTGGTATAACGGCGGAACACACTATGAAATCATTTGGAATAAAAAACTTCACAGGCCTCAATCAGCGAAGAAGAAAACACCCCAAAAAAATATGCTGCCAGGGAAGCCTCTACTCAAGCCGCCATCCATTGCAAAAAGTGTTTCAAATGTAATCCCTGATGCTCCAAAAGGCAAGAGAGTATCTTTTGGCACCTTGGTTCTTGAGAAAACAATGACCACCGGCAAAACTATGATGCATATTGACCCAAGACTTCAATCTCCCCCCAACTCTAATGCCCCATCCATTTCCACAATTGCAAGCATCCGTAAAAGCCAAGATCAGAATCCCACCTCACCGAAAAACTCTACTCCACTCAAACATCCAAATTTTGTAGTTCCTCCTACTTTTGCCTTTGCTGGGACTCATCCACTTCCTGAAAAATTGAAGAAGAAGAAGAGAAACAGGATGCCTGGATTGGAGAAGAGTCATGGATTGCCTGTTGTTTCTGGCTATTGGAACACATTAAACGAACGGTTGCGGTTGGAAACTGGAAGAAACAAGAAGACTCTTCCTTATGGCGTCATACGGTTTGCCATCCCCGAGGGCCTTTTGGATGGTTGGCGCATTTCACATGACTTCATTCAAACATCACGGTCTGTCTCGGCTCCAGATATTACTGGCTTCTACCATGCAGTTGGTTACTGGATGACCGGCACACAAGATGGCCATGCAATTTTCCAAAAGCGCTTGGCCGACCAATTGGGAGGTCAACTACCTCAAATGTCAAGGGATCAACAAAAGTCATCAAGATTGGTGAATGTGGAAAACAAAAACCTTTTCTCTGTTGGCGAAATAAAGAAGGCTTTCCAATTGGTTTTTGATGGTAAAAAACCAGACAAAGTAGTATATACTACTGCTGCAACCATGTTGAGGGTTACTTTTGTTGAGGTGGTGATGGGGCCAAGCCCTGCTAATTGGATGCAGTACTCACCGACTGGATACCAGAATACAGCTTTTCCTTGTCTATACCTTATTTTCAATTCAATTTCCAGACGGTTCCAAATCATGTGGGCACCAAAGATTCATCAGCCAGTAGTTGGTCCCGAAAACGCCGATCTTCAAACACGCTTATCAGGTAATACCACCTTGTTTTCGGACACTCAATCACCCCCATCCCTACACCATATATTGCCAGTCCAGATATATCAACCTTCAGAAAATTCAACCTGGCAAACCTCCAATTGCGATACTTCACCGCCCCAGAAACGCTTCAAAATAATCCAAACAGGTCAAAAGCCAATTCTAACCCTGGAGTCGTATTCCATGCCCACCATTGAAGACTTGAAGACAGTCGATTTTGGTCCAGCTTCTGGGATTCATATATTCCACCAGAAAAAATCATGCAATCCACAGTGCCGTGCAGTTGCCAAGACAGCCTATTTCGAGTTGGGGAATTTCAAATATGTTGGATGGAGATTTTCAATCAACCTTTTTCCAGACAACAAGGACTCCATATGGCGTGCTCTCAGCTTTTGGATATATGGCAGTCAAGGAAGACATAACGAGATCAGAAGGTCATGCGAAAGCAGGACCCATGTTCTCAACAACCCGCTCGAAGACCCTCCTGAGTTTCATTACTCAGAGATTCCAGGGCTATTGAGGGAAGTATCAAACAGATATCGGGCAAGAATTTTACTTGTTTGGATTCATGATGGAATCGCTAACTTGCAAGAATTCAATCCACGTTACATTGATGAAGATGATGAACGCTTGGTTCCCAGGAATTACTTCATTTACAGTTGGAAAGGAAGATTTGGTATTTTTTATTGTCACCACCACTTGTGACTGTGTAAGCATTTCTTTGTTTTGAACTTTTGTGAACAATTACTGATTCAGGTTTCTTTTTTTTCAGTTCTGCGCTTGAATTTTTCTTGTTTATAAATTTTGCAAACAACCTTTTAACTTTCAGTCATGCTTGGTTTTTCCTTTCTTGTTTATATTTTTGCATTCTTGTTTTGACCTTACTGAGATGAAGGTTTCTCCAGATATGATTTGAGATGGTGTTTGATTGCTTACTTACACAGCTAGCATCAATGGATTAAAGATATTTCAGGAATGTCTGAAGTGCATGTTTGAATTCATGGGTGAGAAAAAAAAAATGAACTAATACAAGTCAGAAAGGTAAAAATTAAAAAAAACATTCAACCTGGATTCAAAAGCCAGTATTAAATGACAACAACAATTCATTGGGTTGAAATGAGGGGCTCAAGAATTTAAAAAAATATTTGGTGTGGGGGAGCATTTTGTTAAAAAGATGGTTTTACTTTGGAAGAAAGTTGATGTTGAGAGAAACAAGGAAGTTGATCAGCTTCATCAAATAACTTGTTGGACCAGCCGGCACAACGGGAGCTCTGGTATTTGTATGGCAAGTTCGGCAGCCCATCACCTTTGAGTCTGCGGATCTTGTCAACTATAGACCATCTGAGCTCTTGTTGCACTGGTTTGCTCTACAAGTCAGTTGATGCAGCATGAAGGATTATGTTGTTTTGAATTTCTGGTTTGTAGGAGCAGTGGAAGAGTCCACAGGAGGAACATATTTATTGAGCTTTTAGTTGGTGAATGGGGAAATTTTAGTAAATTTGATTTAATTTCTGAGGACAATTGTTGTTTATTGGTGGAAAGAGAAGCATTGATTGTGTGTTGTTGTGCAAGTTGACTCTGGTGTTGTTAATTTGTTGTTGGCTGATTTGAAATGTGGAAGTTATTATCTATATCTTTTCTGATAGGATCATTTTTTATTGCTGGTTGTTGTTGGGAGAATGTGGTGGGGTGACTTGGAAGAGGTGAATTGTGTTTGGATGGAATGTTTTGTTGTGTTTTGAGATGGTGGTTGCTGTTGGTTGGGTGAGTTGTGTTGATAAGCTTGGTTTTTTACATCAGAGGGAGAAGGTGGTTGATTGTGTTGATTGATGAGGGAAAAGGTACAAGAATGAATGATTTGTATTTCTGGATCAGCAAAATCAAGCTGTAAATAGATAAGAAAACATGGAGGTTATGTGATGAAGTGAGTATTAATTTATTCTAATAATGACCGGAATGTGTGCTAGGAAATATGCTTATGATGAGAAAGAGAAAAAAAGAGAGCTGAAATACTAACAGATTGTTGTATAAAATTGGGTTGAAATGTCCATGTTTGTTGGATATTGGAGGAGGAATGTGGTTGGTGGGTGTATAAGTTGGTGAGGAGAGGAATGGATGTTTGTTTGTTTTTTTTTGTGATGGAATATGTTTTCATGGCTCTAATGGTGGAAGCTGAGGTAGTTTGAAAGTGTTGTATGTTAGTTTGAATTGTTAGTGACCAAGTGAAAAAGTGAGGCCCTGTGGTTGTGTTCCCTCATGGAACAAAAACATACCAAGTTGAAATAAACCAATGGTTAGACAGCGGCTTGGCATTGTTTTTGAGGAGGTCACGGGTTCAAAACCCCCTGGCACCAAAAAAAAAATTATGCGGGTCATTTGATATACAGTTTCTGCGGGGGATAATTCATACAGTTTGGGGGTTAAACATACAGTTCAGGGGATAAAACATACAGTTTGGGGGTTTTAGACATTGGCTTTGTGGGATTAAAATCATGCAGTTTGGGGGCTAAATAAATCATACAGTTTGGGGGTTTAATATGTTAACTTTGTTGGATTTTGTGCAAGCATTTTGATATGCAATTCCTCGCTGATAAGTGGGACGTATGCAATGTAATTCATCATGCAATGCAATACTTGATGCAATATGAAGCTTATCATGCAATATGAAGCTTATTATGCAATATGGAGCTTATTATGCAATATAACTTGGTAGAATCTTGCTACCCTGGCCCTGGGGAGTCCCTTGTAACCCTAACCCTAACCCTATCGGGTTATCCGGGTTGCCTGGGGTCAACATCGGGTTACCTGGGTGTCCACATCTGCTTGTCCCCGGGTATCTACCCCAACTGGTCTCCTGGGTGACCACTTCAGCTGGTCATCTGGGTGACCACTAACCCTGTCTCCTGTGTTACCATCTCCCCTGGTATTCTCGGTCTCCTGGGTTGACCCTAGCTCTCCCACCTCAACTATCCCTAACCCTTGATCCGTGACTAACCCAGCCCCCTGGGGCCTGAATCATCCATCATGCACCCTATTATGTTTTGTGTCCCCATGAGCAGGCCCCCTGGGTATCCACCTCAGCTCAACATGTCCATCCTCACGTGGGACCAATTCTGCTGGACACATGTATTCATGTATAACCACATTGCGTGATCTCCTGGGTGTCCTGGGTTAACCCTACCCCACCCCTTGATCACTGGACCCATCTGGGTTTTTCCGCACCTCTACTATACGCCATGACTAACCCTAACCCTGTGACCCAATTCAAGTATCATGTGCCCTCTCCTGTCCCCCCCATACACTAACTACTTGACATTGGCCCAGATCAGAGTCAACCTCTGCAAAGTTGCACTCATTTCCCAACACAGTGGCTAATCCATTCTCGCTGCCCCTAACCATAACACTGAATCATCATGGGTTCATAACCCTAACCCAACATCAATTCAAGTTGCCCTCTTGTAGAGTCATGCACATGCTTCACCCAAGCATGAGGAAGTCAAAGACATTGGATGCCACTCAGGTGATGATGTTCCTAGCCCTCACACTCTGGATCATAATTAAAGCATCTAAACAGATCATACTTGCATTCAGGCAGAAACAAATGAGCAACTCGCATTAGACATCCTGAAATAAGTGCCAACACAATGAGGGATCACCCAAAGAAACAATCCAGCAACCTAATAACAAACAAATATAGGAACCCAGGGGCATATCAGATAGCAAGAGGGAAAATAGTAGAGTAATATCATTTAATCAATATCAAGCTATCACTTTCGTGATATTGGATCAAGGCTACTAATAATTTTACAACATTCGGCCATCCTAGGCGGCTCACAGACATCTCAGTCTTTCCTAACCAAGACAGGGCTAATCAACAGGGCTGAAATCAAGAAGAGA